ATCGCTGTTAAGTAGTTTGTCGGTTAAGAAAGTTCCTATCTAGAGCACAAGTTACTTACCAGGTGGTCAAATGACTGTTAAGCTGGAGATTTGGATTTTTTACCTCAATCCGGTTAATCTAGGCCTCAATATAAAAATTTGCAAAATAAACACACCTGGTCACACTGCTGTTTTGATGATAAACTGTTTTGACCTTTACGATAAACAATTCCCTTGGGAAGTGTTTGAATTCCGAAATAGCAGTAAAAAAAGTAGTGGAAAGAATCGGGTTTTTTTAGAATGGAGGAAACTTTGGTGTGTATTTTAATGGTTATGTGTTGATAATGTGTTCCATTGTTGTCAGCGCTAATTGACACCTCAACAGTTCCACCCTATGGCCCACTACAGCTAGTGCTTTCGTTGTCTTTCTCTAGATGCCTCCTGATCCTTCTGGATGGCTTGGAGGCTACAAGTCCAACCAGCACGTCGTGTTCAGGCGTAGGCGAGTTATCCAAAGCCCACGAATTGAATTGTACAAACGACGGTACTGATGATGATCATGTGCAATTTGAAATCCGCCAGATTACTAAAAATTGGCTCGTCTCCGCTTTGAGTGGTGGGCAAGCTGGACGGATTTTGGCTCCATTGTTTGCGACTCTCCTTCATCCTTCCACTGCTCGAACTAGCCTCGTCTCCATTCGTAGTCGACGAAGACGTCTTAGAATGGCTAAGAAAAGACGCAATAGGCGGCGATTGAGGCAAAGTGGTGAGAGAGATGCCAATTAATGAATATCTCAAAAGTTTCTTCCGCTTTCATGTGTGTTTTTTTGCAATTGCTGGGTAAAATAAGACGGGGGGGGGGATATTGAGGGAAAGTTGCTTCACTTTATGAGAAAGCTTTTTCTAAAAACGTCATTTCCAATCCTGTGTGTGTGTGTGTCTACCGGCAACACACCGGTCGCCTTGCTTGTCTGCTTAACTAGACTTCGTCTTATTAGCTAAAAGCGCTCTCATAGGCTACTCATTCACTCTCTGCTTTCCTTATATCTTATCTTTGACTTTATCAAAACAATCTTACCTGTTTTCATCATTTACAACAGCGATTATGCGTTTGATACAACTAACTTGAATAATAAGTACGACGGGGATGGGGAATTGGAGGACCAGGAAGCCACACTTTGAAATGCCACTGTTTTTACCACTGATTAATCCTTATTTGACTTTTAGTGAATCCGAGAAACAGCGATGTCGATGGCCAGACGAAGGAAACCGATGGAGGCCTCTTTTCTGGGGATGAGTCCGAGGATGCCGACGAGGGCTATGAGGATTTTGATGCGGATTTGGAATTGGAGGATGGGGATTTGAACGATTACGATTATGACGAGGAGTGGGAGGAGTACGATCGCAACATCTGCGCCCTCTCTGGGGGTTCACCCTCTGGAGAGGTCCACTTTTACGTCTCCAATAGGCCCTCTCAGGTAAACTAACCCATTCTTGAACAAACCATTTTTTCTTGCGATTCAATTTGTTGAATGTCCCCATTTGGTGTCCTTTCTGTGGTATCATCACTGCAGTCACGGACGGCCTGAACGGTAAACATAAACATTCTGTATGCGAAATTTACAGTGTCTGCGATGATTACAAATGCTACGAGTCGTGGGTTAAAATGTCGAAATGAAACGGAACATTCATAGAAAGTGTTGGGGAATCGATTGAATTCTTCCTGATTGGATGGTAGCTAGGGTTTCGAGTCAAACGTATGCGCGGACGAACAATCAGCATATTTTCATTTAGAATGCCGCCGATGGGGAATCTTTAAAGTTTCTTAGTAAGTCATTTTAAACACGCGTTATTTTTAGATGCGTTTTTGACTTCTCTCCTGACGAGTCGTCGTACACTTGTCTTAAACCCACCTCCTGATTGGTGACATGATCATTTGTGTTTCTCTTCAACGCCTCGAGTTTTGCACCTTACTTCAACATTAATTATCACTGCAGTCTATTTCACACATTTCTATCACATCTACTTCCCCTAGTTCATGTTTTTACTGTTATAGTCTCCAATTGTTATTCGTTTGTGCTAAATATGAATTCTCTTGGCTGCGTCGCCAGTGCGGTAAGGAACATTAGAAAATTAATCCCTAAGGCAGCAATTGGATAATTTTGAATGATTTAGATTAGAAGATGTTAGAAAATGCCAATGAGAGAGAGAGAGAGAGAGAGGGAGAGTATGTCATTGAATTAAAATGCTTGGGTGAGAATAAGTGTACATTTTTTCTACCATTTATTGCTTATAGTTAGATTGACAGCTGACTGCTTTATTAATCCTGCAGGCATCCCCGAAGGAGTCAGGTGCGAAACGCAAGAAGCGCCTCGGGGTCTTCTCCAAGACGCCTATTCTGCGTCGAAAGAAGAAGGGAGCCGGAGGTGACGGCACTGGAAATGCAGTTGGAGGCGACGTCTTTGACGAGGAATACCACCCCGTGGATGTTATGACTCGTCTTCAAAACAGCGGCAATCGAAATAATGACGTTAATGGAATGAAAGTTGAAGAACGCATCTCTCTGGACAGGATTCGCCGAGATGTCATCCAGGGTGTGTGGCTTTCCGTTTAACGCTTGCTCTAGTGTTTGGCTGAAAACAACTTTAACGTCTTTGCTGTTCAAATGTGTTTCGCGTTGGTAGCCTAAGTTAGTGGAGGAGATGATAAAGGGTAACTTTTTTCCGGGCAAATACTCTATTTGCTAGATAGATAGTTAGTAACAGCCACAAATAGGTGAGATTGCGTCTAATTCCCTTTGTCTCTTATTGCACCTAAAAGTACTTAACGCGGACTGACTTTGGCATTGAATCGCTAAAGGAGCTACCGAATCCTGAGGGGATGTGGGGGGGGGGGGGTAGAGATGATTAGCACCCTCCAAGTTGCATAGGCTAGTAATAATGTTGCCTTGGGGGGGCATTGAATTATGTATTAATGGACGGACGTGCGCTAAAGCCGGTGCAATGGATGTGTTATAGCGAACTACTAGTCCTAACGGTCCACAGTATTTAGGCTACTAATCATGAAGCCAGGGTTGGTTGATTTCAATAACAATTCCAATCTACCCTATGTTAGCTGGCCGTGGAAATGCATTCATACATACTAAGCGTGTTTCCTGGCGTACGCATTGGATGGTATGGGGGGTGGGAATTGGACTACAAATGAAGAGCTGGTTGTATTAAGAATGTAAAAGTGCTCTTTTGTTGAATTTTCAATTGCACTGTTTGAGTCCCGCTCACCAAGGTCCTCCACGAGGCTACTCTTCTATTCATCGAGATGAATGCTTGAAAACGTGACATTTAGTGTAATTAAATGGAATCTTTTCGGAAATGTTGGCCATCACTCAAAGCGACAATTTCTCCTAACTGACCTCGTCTAAGTCCGCGTAAGTGTTATTTCTTAGGTTTAGTGATCTGATGGGTGGGGGGGGGGGGGGGGGGGGAGGTACTAATGATCGCTGCTTATTTCAAAATTAATCCTTAATGCATTCCTAATCTAACAACTAATTTTGCTTAACGGATCGATCGTTGTAAAGCACACTTCTAAGCGCACTTACTCATTGAAAGAGCACTTTTATTTCAATTAGCGAATGATCGGTGTCGAGGTAAGTTCAAGCATATTAAACAAACATTTCATTTTTTTGTTGCCTCGTCAAAGCTTTATGTCAACTCACACACGCACACACACACTCTTGTTTTTACTTGTTAATCAAATAAGTAGTAAGTACGAGTAAAGCAAAATGAACCAATCACCGCTAGAGCTTGCTTGTTGTAATGCTTTAATCCCTCGGTTCCCGAACTGTTGTGCTCCCTACGTGGGTATTTCTGTTCAAAAGTTGACTTAACTTGTTTCATGGCTATTCAGGACTTCTAGCGGAGTTGTTGAAGCCTGCTTCTGATGATGGAGAAACACTCACTTCGCGAAGCCAATCACCCTTCGATCAAATGAGTGCGTTTGATGCCTACCTTTTTTCTATTAGCCCTATTCGAGCCGAAATCAACGATTTTCTTCCTTTAAGTTGCACTACCTGTAAAAGTTCTACCGATTCATGAGCATCTTCTCGTCTATCTTCACAAGTATGATTTCAATCAGGTTAGTTCGACCCACTCCTTTATGACTAATTTAAAACTTCGGGTAGGCTTTTGCATGTTGACCTTGATAAGCTGCTTAATAGACATCTAATTATATCAAGTGATAGGCTTTGCGATAGTTATCATTAGGCCTTTAGTTGACTTTGGACTTCACAGATGGGAGGAACGGACAAAGTCAGAAAAAGTGAGGGTGAGGGGAAGGGAGGGGGTGGAAGAGTGGTTCACAGATGTAAAAGAGACAAATACAAAGGTAGAGAAAAAGGTGAGGTGATTACTGTAGAAGTGGTGGAATATGACATACGGTGGGGTCATGGCAATTCGAAGTCAGAACTCGACCGCCGGGTTACAGATTTTGTTTGCCATATGAGTATACGTCGCCCAGTGTGTGCATCACGTGGATGTAAGTCTTTCACGCACCCCGCATTAATAGACATAGTGTCAGTGAATAACGGTGAAAATCACTCGACAGAGCACGGATTATGATGACTTAAACAGACTAACATAATCCTAAAATATGTCACCTTGTTGGTGAATACGATGATGAGTACATTTACAGAGTTTCTGCCCTTAGTCAGCTAACTTAATCATCCAATGTTAAAATTAATACCCAAACTGCAAGAAATTGTGAGTGCTAGTTGTCTGTTTGGTAGCTACCTGGCTTTGCATGCCATGCTCGTAAATGGGTGCTTTAGATTTCGGACTAACTATAACAAGTCGAAATTCCACCCGGGCACGAAGAAGGGGGTGGGTGGGTGGGTGGGATCTACAATGTTTCGCTATCACCGCGAAAGCTATCCCATTTTATCGATGAGTATTGCGGAAGGCACACAGTAAAGTGTATTGATTTTGTCTAAGTAGAACGGTTTAGTGTTATTTATGCGTTCGAAATGGTTATGGGGTAGTTGGTCGGTTGTTAGCACATTCCAGTGTTGATCCGCTTGATATTAGGGGGGCCGGGGGTCTAGGTTTTGTCTCATCTACCTTTTCTCATTGCCTTTCTATATTAGGTGATGTACGCCTTCACAAGACTTCGAGCCATTCTCAAGAGTGACGCGGCCTCCGCTTTCCTACTTGCTCTCGCTGCGACGCCAACAACGGCAAGGAGGTCCACCTCCTCACTGTCCAAGACGAGACAGGAAGTTCCACACTTCGCCACCAGCGCGTTTCCCCAACTTTTTGGAACTTGTAAGCCCTTTGACCTGAGTTGACACCATTTTTTTTACATTCAAAAATAGCAACGAGAGAGCATTCATTTCAGTTTTCGGTCTCTTTCAATTTTTTAGGACTTATAATGGTAGAACGATTGATGATACTTTTGCAACTTCTTTTATTGAAATTGCTTCTCAACTTTTTATGAAATTTTAAGAGTCAAGTCGCCCGTCTTTTCTTCTTTATATGATCATTTTTTGTTAAATAACGAATGGCGGGCTTTATGATAGTTATCATTAGTCTTTTAGTTGTTTTTGGGTTTCAAAGAGGGGCAGAGAACATCAAAGTGAGAAAAATTCGAGAGGGGGAACAGAAGAGTGATTCACAGACATAAAAGAGACAGACAGGCAGACAAAAAGGTGGAGAAAAGTTAATGTGAGTACTGTGAAAGTGATGGAATAGTTCATATAGTGGGGTCAGGGGTAGCCGGTTTATAGACTTACCGTATGAGTATATATTTTTATTTATCTCGATATATTTTGGCAAATTTCTTGCAATTTACCTGATTCGCAAGTTCTAGGTCCTTGATGTCTAATTTTCTGGATTGGTAAACACGATGTCTAATGTATTTTTCGATCCCACAGCGCTAATTGACCTATTGGCTCGTCACTTGCGTTGCCTCTCCGCTGGTGGATGCGATGACTTTGCTCGACATGCAACGGCGGATGAACTCTGCGCCGTTTCTGATCAGAGAATGCGTAGTCTGCTGGATGTTCTACTTCATGTCTGCATCTCATTCCACGTCTCCCTCGTTCTGCCTGATGTCCAATGCCCTCTGAATCAAGCCGCCAATTCAAATGTTCGCCTCATTGCTGCTCAGGTGCTTCAACTTATTACTGAGGTGAGTGCTGCGCCTTGATGTATTTTGCCAACTGATAATGCTCAAATTCTAACTGAAAACTGCAGCAGAGAGGGAATTAACGGGGGG